ATATATATATATATATATATATATATATATATATAACAGATAACAGATTACATTAGGCAACAGACTTGCAAAATTCACTCCTCCTTGCAAACATTGAAAAACAATTGTATTTACATAAAATATGTTATTAACATCTAATCAATGATTGACATCCGATAACAAGTTAGCAAATAGCCAGGACACGGTGCTACAATTAAAGCAATTGGAACATCTTTATTTTTTTTTCTTTTCCAACCTACTTATTTCATAGATTTGGTTTTGATAAATTAAAGTTTACATTTTTAAAGGTATATAATTTGTAGAGGAAACTCAAACCTTTAAGAGCAGTTATTAAAAAAGTTGGATCTAAGGGAGAAAACCCCCCCCAAAAACAATATAACTTCAATAGATATATTTTTTAGGCAACTTGAATAAAAGAGGCATTATAGAGTTATCTAATGATACTGTCACCTGTGGCCAAAATACAAAACTGCAGCATTCTTCTGCTTGTACTCGTAGCTCTGGCGCACACTTAACAAGATTTTCCTTTTCTTTTTTCCATCTCATGTGGGGTTGCCATTGGTGTCTGAGTTGAGCTGGAGTATCCACAATATCCATCTTGAATATAACGATTGCTCTGACCCATTCAACATGGAGGCACTTGATGTCACATCCGCAGAACGGTGCGGGAACCTCCGACCTGAATTAAAATAAGGAATATAGGCTGATGGATGCATCGCAGCTGAACTACTGAGGTGCCAGTACGATTATAAAACTGTTTTTGTTGACAAAGGTCAAATAAAAAGATGTTTTTTCAGCGAAAACATAATGTTAGGTTAGTTTGCAGATCTCAGCTGTATCTCCAAAATGATGGTACATTCGTATTCCACCATAGAGCGGCTGAGTAAAGGTGGTCTGCACTCTGTGGAGCAGAGTCATGGTCTCAGAGATGTTGTAAAAAGACAGAGTACCTGCTCTCTGATCCAGGTACACCCCAACTCTGGAGAAAACTGAACCAGGGATGGGAGTTGATAAGTTGTTGTGCCAAAAGTGATTGCTGTGTTGGTCACAAAATAAAGCCCAGGATTTTTCATCCTGTCCAAATCCGTTGCCGGTTTTAGAGCTGTTCTTGTAAGCAACTGCTATATAGCCTCCATTTCCTCCCCACTGTACCTCCCAGTAACAGCGTTCGGACAGAGTCTCCTTACTAAGGATCTGAAACTTGACTGAGTATCTTTCTGGGTGATTATGATAATTTAGAGTTTTACGCATTAGGGTCACCTTCCTGTTATCTTCAGAAAGAAGCAGGTTCATGTGAGCTGTGTTTGGATCCAGGGTGATTTCCTGAGAGTATTTTAAATGGTCTTCTCTGGTTTTTGGTTCTGGTTCTGACAGTAAAATATCCAATTTAGTGACTCTCAGTGAGATGTTTGTCCATTTCTCATCCAGGACGTCCTGAAGCAGGTCGCTGAGCTCTGACACAGCTGCTGTTACATCTTCAAAGTACCTCAGAGGACGAACATTGATGCTAGAGGAGCAGTTAGACTCAGTGAGAGATGAAAGTGAGGAAAAGCTCTTGAGAAACTGGTTATGATCCTCTGTCTGTGAGAGATGCTCCAGCTCAGCAACTTCCTTCCTCAGCTCACAGATCTCCTGCTCCAGCTTCTCCTGGACATCTTTGACCCTGCTCACCTCAGATTCCTGTTGGGATCTGATCTGCTGCTTCAGTTCAGAACTCCTTTTCTGTATAAAAGAGATAAGTTCTAAAAAGATCTCCTCATTGTCCTGCACTGCTTTATCAGCAGAGACATTAATTGCCTCCACCTCCTTTTGAAGTAACTTTATATGTTTCTCTCCACCTTGGATCTTCTGCTGGATGTCTTCTCTTCTCACCTCCAGCTCCCTCTGCTTCTCCATCCTCTCTGCTGCACCTGAGACGATGTCATGACCTTTATGTTCATCCACAGTGCAGACATAACAGATGCTCTGCTGATCAGTGCGACAGAACATCTTCATCACCTCGTCGTGACGTGAGCAGATGTTCTCATGAAGATGCTTGGAGGGCTCCACCAGCTGATGCTTCTTTAACCGAGCCACGTCATAATGAGGTTGGAGGTGTTTCTCACAGTAAGAAAACAGACATATCAAACAGGACTTTGTGGCTTTTAATTTCCTCCCAGTGCAGATATCACAGCCTACATCTTCAGGTCCAGCATAGCTGTGAGTAGAAGGAGAAGCTCCTAATCCAGTCATCTTCAGCTGCTCAGTTAAAGCTGCCAACATGATGCTTTTCACCAGGGTAGGTCTCGGTTTGAAGGTCAGTCTGCACTGAGGACAGCTGTGGACTCCTTTCTTATCTTCTTCATCCCAGAAGTTTTCAATACACTTCATGCAGTAGCTGTGTCCACAGGGAATGGTTACCGGATCCTTCGGTAGATCCAGACAGATAGAGCAGGAAAAACTCACTTGATCCAGCTCAGCTCCTTTCTGCGCCATTTCTCCTCATAGACGGTTTTAGTTTCACTTTTAGACAAATGAAACTCACCCTGAACGAGAAGGACCTCGCTGCAGCAAACAGAAAGGGGCGGGGACGGACCTTTCCGTCAGTCCCATACCTTATTTGGAAATGGGACTATTGCATTCCGGAAATGAAGGGGGCGCTATTTTCATAATCACTAGTATAACTGCCTTAAAGACGTGAGGTTAAGAGGAAAGGAAGAAGAAAGAAAGAAGTTTGAAAAGTT